TAGTCTGAAGTGGATTAAACAGAATATTGGCCTCAATATGCGATGTTATTTAGAACACACTGGAGACGTTGTGATGTAATTGTGTACTGAAGCAGAAAAATATTAGTCTACATTTTAATGGAATATCCACTTCAACATACGCATTGTATCTGGAATGATGACAAAGCAGAACAGGCACCAAGGCCTGTCTGGGTGTTGGCCTTCCCCTCATCACCTTCCTTCCTACTCCTGTCTGAGCTAAGGATGGGGAAACCAACTCAGCTTCAAACCAGGCGGTCTGCCAGCCCTTCTTTGACCTCGGGACTCTAGCGCCTGCCTTTTCCTGGAGGTCAATTTAAGCTTTCAACTAGTGGCACCCATCACCTCCTTCCTCCCTATTCCCTCTTACCTTTCCTCCCCACCCTCATGAGGGTGGTCTCCAAAGGTCATATTTGTTTGGGGACTTTGTTTCTGTCTGCCTGCCTATTGTTCAGAAACATCTACTTCATTCTCCAAGTATGCTTTATGCTTGCATACCTTTTTCACTTTTAGAATATTTTAACGTATTTAATGGGTGGCTCTCCCTTCCCCTCCAAGCAGGCAGACAGTTGGTATTGTCTCATTAGCTGGAGAGTTTAATGACTTTCCCAGAATGCAGAGAATTTAGAGCTTGTGCTTTACTTGTATCAGTTCCACTGACTATTCATTTTAATGTTTTTTTTGATAGAAAGAAAACCTTTAAGAAAGGTATAATCTAGTGGCAGAGAATGGGGAATTTATAGTAAGTTAAACACACACACACACACACACATACACACACACAAATATATTCCCTCCCCATTCCTATGGTTTGTTCTTGGGTGAGTACATAGCAGGTTTATCTTAACACTATGACCTTTTTTCCCCCCACATCCACCATAATAGAGGAGAACACCTTATATGAAGAATGCCTGTGCCTTTGGTACCATTGGAAATTAACACTCTTGAAAGGGATCTAGGAGAATCCCTTTCCTGGGAAGATTCCACTGTATATAATTCTTAGACTTTCAGAGTTGGAAGAGACAATATGAGTCATCTGGTTTACCAGGTGTTTGGTCAAATCCTTGGTTAGATCCCATCTGAATCCTTGAGGGCTGTGGAGTGAGTTTGATGAACAATCCTTGTTATTATACATGACCTTTCATGGCCGAAAATACATTCCACCAAACCAATAAAGTAAAATGTTGACCAGTCAAAAGAAAAAGTTGTTTCTTTCTTTCTTAGGCCATCTTGGCTTTTGCAATGTTCTATTTGAAATATTTCCTTTAGAACTTATTAGCTATTAAGAAAATTTCATATTTAAATATCTTTTTTAATACTATTGTTTAATGGAATATAAGTTTTAAAATGTAAATACATGAGGGTAGTTTTCTTTTTTCTTTTTCTGTGTTTCTCTGTCTTTATTTGCAAGCTAGATGTCAGTTTTTTCTCCCAGTATTGTTAATGATTTTCCTATGTTTGGTTGCTATAATATGCACATGGAGTTCGTGTGAATCGTTTCAGTTCTCTCTCTCTCTCTCTCTCTCTCTCTCTGTGTGTGTGTGGGTGTGTGTTTAACCAGTGATATTGAAGAAGAGAGGAAGGCTTTGAGATTAAGTATTTTAGTGAACGCTAATAGAAGGCATATAATAAACCTGAGTACTTGAAAATTCAGTAAGAAGCCAAAACTGGGATAGGTTATTTTCCCTCTTTGCCTTTGAATGGAAATGCATGACCACATTGATTAAGCATCCTTAAGCGGTTATGCTGTAGGATTTCTTAACAACCTGCACTTATAAATCTCTATTTTGAGCCAGTGTTTCTCAGAATTAAAACCAAAGGGTATATGTACTTATACCCTGTAATAAGTGTATAAAGCTCCAACTTCTCTCCTAAAATCATGGGTCACATAATATTACTTGTAGCCAGGAGACTGTGGGAAGTTTCAAAATTCACTAGGTTGATATATTGTGGTTTGCACTGTACCTAAGAATATTATGTTAGCAAATGGAACATCCATTATAAGCTCTTGGGGAGGCTTATATTTCAACTTAGCAAATTTGCAGTATAAGTTGAAATGAGTTTTTCTGCCTATGAAGATTCACATAGTCTCTTAGTTCCTATTTAATGCTAAGCTCTTTCTTTAGACCCAAATAATTCTAGGGAGAGACTTGCATAGAGCCACCTGAGATGTTCTGTTACAAATATCTATTCTGTCTACACAGCTTCCACACTCTAATTCGTTTAACTGGTCCCCTGTAGGGAGTAGAGAAAGGATGTTTCCATAGGTCAAAGGATTAACATTTCCTCACAAAGTTTTTGTTAGACAATCTAAGACCAGGTGAAGAGGAGTAATAATATGACCTAATATTCTGCAATTTACAAATTTATGAAGGGCTTTCATATATAAAATTTCAGGTGTGTGTGTTTGTGTGTGTGCGTGTGCGTGTATGCATGTGTGTGTATGTGAAACTCTGTAAGGTCACTGTAACAAATATTATTGTCCCCATTTTTAAAATTAAGGGAAGCAAGTTTAGGTCACAGATTAAGTTGTTTTGCTATTGTCACCTAATGAAGTAGAGCTGGGTTTAGAACATAGATATTAGGATCTGAAGTTCATTGTACCATTCATTTTGTCTCAGGTATTTTCCCCTTGAGCCTGGAGATATACTTTTTCATTTTTTATTTTTTGAATTGGAGTCTCACTCTGTCACCCAGACTGGTGTCCAGTAGCCGCTCGACCTGCTGGGCTCCGGCGATCCTTCTGCCTCAGCCTTCCAAGTAGTTGGAACTACAGGAGTGTGTTACCATGCCTGGCTAATTTTTTTTTTTTTTATTTATTGTAGAGGTGAGGTCTCGCCAAGTTGCCCGGGGGGGGGGGGGGGTCTCGAACCCGCGGACTCAGGCAATCCATTTACCTCAGCCTCCCAAAGTGCTGGGATTACAGGCTGAGCCACTGAGCCTGGCCCTTTTTCAGTCTTTTTACTTGAATTTCTTTAAATGGCAGCTGGGAGGTAGAGGGAGGATCAGGTAGTAACACTGGCATGAGTGTGGTTGATAGAAGGCTGAGATGTTTTCAGAAGCAGAACAGGATGGACAGGCTTTTGCATCATTTATTCATTTATCCCTTGGTATGACATTCCTTTTTTTGTGAGCCACCTTTACTGCTCCTTTGGAGTTTTGCATGTAGAAATTTCCCCCCATATTTCCTTGCTCCTCTCTTTCTATGTTCCTCTATTCCTGGCACTGGAGACTACATTTGACAAAGTAAATCCTAGAGCAAGTGATGATTCACCCTTTTCTTGAACAATAAAGTCAAGGTTAAAATAGAGTATCTATACTGAGGTCAATAGTAAGGGAAGGATGACTTAAGGGGACTTCTGCTCCCAGATAACTTTTATTCCTAGTGATACTAAATCATGAGCATTTTCTGATGTCTTTAAATACCATTTGAAAATTTTTCATGATTCTGCAACATTCTGTTACACAAATTTAGCCAAACTTATTTAAGTGTTCTGCTATTTTGGATATTTAGGTTATTTTCTAGTTTTTGCTGTGATGAATATTATAGAAAATATTAACTCCTTGGAGAAGGGAACTGTTAGCTATGTTTAAGAGATACAAATCTGGTTTAAATGGTTTCCCCTAGACATTGGTTTTTCAGTACATTGTAATAGTCATTTCAATCAGATAAATATTTGGTTATTTTTCTGAAGTAATACAATAGTGATATTAGATTTATTTTCAGATGGGGAAAATGAATAAAGATGGTAAATGAAAGGAACAGATTTCACCATTATGTTATTATTATTCTGACCATAAAATCTTATTTAATGGTTTATGCTTTTATAAAAGGTTGGTGTAATGGCAATATTTTAAATTATTTATACATGAATGTATACATTTGAAAAATCTAAACCCAATTTAAAATAATCACCACTTTGTAAAAGTCATTACTTCATTGGCTAGCTTATGTAATGTTGTGGCGCATATGCCACAAACATTTGAACTTGCCTTTTTTTGGTCATGTAGGAAAGGGCTCACCAATCATGAGCAAATTAGTAGAAATGGACGAGCCAATTTTGAATTACTTAGAGGCTTACTTGCTGGAACTACTGCCTTAATTTCCTGTGGGCACATACAGATGGTTAGAAGGGGGAGGAAGAGGTGTTAGAAGTTTTGGTAAAGGTATTAGCCCCTCACATACCTTCTCAATCAGACTCACATCTCCATCCACTGCCCAAGATCCGGACACAGCAGATGATCAGCAGGCCAAGTCTGTTCTTGGTGTTCTCCCTCTTCTCTCTGGGTTTCTTTCCACCCACCCCTGTTTAATTTCTTCTTTCCTCAGATGACCAGCACCTTTATTCAACTTAATCCTCCTCAGCATGGCATCCACTATGGCCCATAATTTTGGGAAAGTCTCCTTTCCCCAAATTGTTTATCCCCAGTAAGCAGAAAGTCACCTGGCTTCCTCAAACTTGACATTATTTTTTTCTAGGTGCATTTGTATTTAAGAGTGCTCCTAGAAAAGCCACTGCCTTATTCTTACTTTGATACTGTTTGGCCAGCTCAGTGACTAACTCACAGTAGGCAGAATTCTATTCTACTTTAGGGCAAACTTTGATGGAGAGGACCACTAGGTAAAAGCAGAACAAGGAAGTCATATAAGTTAAAAAAAAAAAAAAAAGCAAAGAAGAAGGCCTTTACTATTAGAAAAGAGTGTTTTTTCTTTTCCTAAACTATGGTGGATGAAATGTGTGAGTATACTGGAATCTGACTTGAATAAACTCTTAGGATGAAGTCATACATAATTAATCACCTGTCTATGCATTCTTTCCAAGTCTCTTAGTAGTCATGCTTGTGGTAACTTATGTTTCTTGAGTACAAGAGCCCAAGACAGCCAATTAAGGGAGAAGAGGCAGTAGTGGTTCTGTTATATAACCTTGGTGCTACTGTAATGGGGTGGGTAATTGTCTGTCTTTTTTCTTCTCAACGTGTAGTGCCTGAAACAGTATATGCAGCTGGCAATTCGAGAAGGATGTGGGTCTCCCATCACTTGCCCTGACATGGTGTGCCTAAACCACGGGACCCTGCAGGAAGCTGAGGTATGGATGCCTGCCATCGTCTTTCCCTCTTTCCCGTTGATGTGATTTATTGGGATCTTGATTTTTTATGTGCCTTCTACCAAGGAGTCTGACAACAAAATGCAGAGGTTAACTTTTTAAAGGAATACTTTTTTGCTACATACCTTTGGATGCTTTATACAAACTACTAAAGCTGCCATTTGCCTCAGTTCTTGAGTGTTGAAGAAGCTCTAGAATAGGCAAAGGTGCTAGAAATAAAACTTACTAATAGTGAAATCTGGAGGCTGAATAGTGAATGGTTTTGTGAATATTTATACCTTAGAGATAGACCATAGATGTGCCAGTTATAGAAAATATAAACAATTGTGATTCTACAATGGCAACCTAAGTTGAACCATTTCCAAAGAACAGAGAGAGACCTTTCAGTTGATCTGTATCAGGCATCAGAAATGTCTTTGTTTTTGGGTGAGGTCTCCCATTTTTTAAAGACTGTAATTTATCTATCTCTTTTGTTTGCTCAATCACCGGCCATTGGCTTGCCCTCAAATCTGCCTTTTAATCTTTAAACCATGCTTACTTTAACTCAGAATATAATGAACTCTTGTCCTTTCTCGGGGGTTTTGTAAGCCTCTGAAAGACATCCGAAGAAACAGATGAAATAAATTATAGTTGCTTTCATACAGTATACTATCTAATCCTCTCAACAAACCTCATGAAATTGGGTATTACTTTCACATTGGAAAACCGAGGCCCAGAAGGTTTAAGTAACTTACCCTAAACTGCGTATCTAGAAAGTAGAAGAGATAGAATTCTAATTCAGTTCTCTTTGACTGCCATATTTATATAGCTTTAAGAGTAGAACTAGGTAGATAGATAGACTGTATGATAAAGGACTTGATAATTGGAACCTCAGTAGTGTGCCTGTGTGTGTGTGTGTAGATATAAATATGCGCATGTGTGTGTGTATATATATATATATACTCCACATATTTTGTTTACAAATATATATTCTTTGTAAGTAAAGCAGTCAGAAAGATGGTATAGATGATTTCTAACTAATCTGTATCTGGGTATTCTGTGTTCAGTTTATGGAATATCTGTTAAAGGATACAAATGAGAAGTGTTTTTTAGGGAAGCATAAGAGAAATACATAATGGTTTAGAAATAATTTATTTCAAGAATATCAGGAAATAATTTTTTTACAAAAAGGTAATATTGAATATGTAAATCCTGTCATGAGAAGTATTGTTTACTTTTGTGGTGATAGGGTTAAAGAAAAATTAGATTAGCTACTAAGAATACTGTTGATCTATGTCATGTCACTTAGAAATTGTTTTTAAATGAGACCCAGGTATTTGGTTACATCTTTCTATGCATAACCCTTCCAGGAAAGATGCTTCCTTTATGACTTGCTTCTCTGGTGTCTGACTGGTCAACAAGTGTTAATTAACAGCACAGTGTGCTGGGCCTTGTTCTAGGCTAGGATAGAGGGAAGAATAAGACAGGTCCACCAAGGCTATCCTTGGGAAGCTTCTGATTCAGCAGAGAGACAGTAAACAGAAAACATGTCAGATAAAAGTAAAATGCAGGAAATGAGGCAGGATGCAAGAGCTGGGTCTGGTGTGAAATCTTGTTGAATCCATGTATGCAAAATCTATTCAACATAAATGAACCGGATAGTAAGATGAAATCTCTAAACAAGTCTGACACCTGCACTTGTATGTTTATTGCACTATTCATAATAGCAAAGTCATGGAATCAAACTAAGTGTGCATAAATGACTGATGGAGTAAAGAAAATGTAGCATATATATACCACAAAATACTATCCAGCCATGGAAGAGAATGAAATCATGTCTTTGCAGCCATATGGATGGAAATGGAGACCATTTCTCTTAAGTGAAATAGAAAATCAAATACTGCATGTTCTCACAAGAGGTAGCTACATAATGTGCACACATGGAAATACAGAGTGGAAGAGTAGACATTGGAGACTCCAAAGTGTAGGGTGGGAGGGTTGTGTAGGGGTGGGAGAGATAGGAGGATGGGAGGGATGTGAGAGATGAGAAATTACCTGTTGGGTGTGATGTATACGAATGGGGTGATCATTGCACTGAAAGCCCAGACTTCACCACTACACCATGTAACAGAAATGCACTTGTGGTGGTCCCTGGTGGCTTGTGCCTGTAGTCCCAGCATTTTGGGGGGCCTATGTGGGAGGATTGCTTGAGCCCAGGAATTTGAGACCAGTCTAGACAACATAGTGAGCCCTTTTCTCTACAAAAAAAACATTTGTACCTCCCAAATCTATTAAAAAAACCAAACCTATGAAATTAATTGGAGTCCTATATCTATATTTGTGCCATTCAATTCAGTAGCCACTAGCTACATGTGGATATTTAACTCTAGATTAATTAAAATAAAATATAATTTAAAATTCAGTTCTTCAATTACACGAGTCAACTGATTTTGAGTGTTTAGTAGCCACATGACTACCAGATTGAGCAGCATAGAATAGAACATTTCCATCAGTTCAGAAAGTTCAATTGCATAGTATTGTTCTAGTCTTTTCAGTAAATGGTAGACATTAGCTACTCTCATTTTGGATATTGAATGTTAGAGCTAATGTGTCTAAACAAGTGAGTCAAGACTAGCCATAGTTTTCTCGCAGTTCTCTAGAACAGAGCTTATCTTCTGGTTTTCTTTGTATGGATATTTTCTCTTTGTAATCCCACTTTCTTTTCTTATCCTTTTCCCACTGTATACATTCACACTCAGACTTTCCTGTTTCTGGTTCTCTTAATCTGGTTTTACTGTAAAAGCAATTTTACTTTTAGGCTTTATTAAAACCAAACAAACCCATAATGGCTCTTTAAAAATTACAAAGTATCTTTGAAAAAAGTAGAACAAAAACATATTTCAAATCAAATTGTGGCATTTCTTAAATTTTCCAAAGTCTTTTTCCTCATTAGATGAGTAAGAAGCCACTCCAGGGCATTGATGGAACATGTCTATACTTGCTGGCTTTGCTAAGACCCTGACCAAAAGATGGGCGTAAATGTACAATCATCAAGTGTTCTTAACCAATTTCCTATTTTTTTTTTCAGAATGGTTAAAAAAAAAATGTGACAGTGGTAGTGATTGTTTCTCATTTTGAATTAAGAACTCATTTACATTATGCTTGACTGGATTCTATCTCCATGACTACTACTTCCTTCTACCTTTAAAAAAAATTATTTAATTATACAGGTAACACACAATTATGCTTTGCTTGTTGAAAATAATTCTAGTTAAGGCTGGTTCCCTTTGTCCCACTCTTATTTATGCTATATGTCATTGTTCATCATTCATTGTCTTGCAGAATACATTTAGGTATCACATGTCTTCATCTTCAAAGGAAACTAAGAATTTAGGCTCTATTCTCTGAATGCTTTCCCATGCAGGTCTAGCTTACACAATTGGCTCTGTTTCATGTGCCTGCTTTCTTGATTCCTACAAATTGGCTCAGCTTGGCTCTGCCTTTTAACTTTTATCTGTCAAGAATAGCCTTGTTAGTGGTTAGTGAAGCATTTAATGCCCAGTTTAAGTACAGTCAGCCCTAAGGATCCATTGGTTCTGCATATGTGGATTCAAATAACCAGAGCAAAAATATTCAGAAAAAAATGCATTTGTACTGAACATGTACAGTCCTTTATTCTTGTCATTATTCCCTAAATAATATAGCATACCAGCTATTTACCTGGCATTTACATTGTATTAGGTATTTTAAGAAATCCAGACATGATTTAAATCATATGTAGGGATGTGTATAGTTTATTGTGCAAATATGACACCATCTTATATCAGGGACTTGTGCATCCCTAGTTTTAGTATCTATGGGAGGTCATTGAACCAATCCCCTGCAGATACTGAGGGACGACTATACTGTTTCCTTATGTGGAAAACTATAGAAAGTGGCAGTGTCCACTTCAGTGTCATGGAAGTTGGTGAGAAATAGTGACTCGGGAGGACTTGAGGCTAGAGGTGAACCCACTGGGATCCAGGGAAAAGTAAAACTTTCCTTTATTGCATCATTTAGTACTTTCAGTTGTTGTTCTGCAGAGTTTTTCCAATGTACTTGATCTAGGAATCTTGTCCAACATGGAGTTGTAAAAGGCAGGACACGACACAGATTGTTTATTCTGATAGCATTCTTCAGGCAAAGCTCTTGCTTGAAAGTTAATAGCTGGATTCAAAACAGTTATGTCTGGGTCGGGCATGGTGGCTCACTCTTGTAATCCCAGCACTTTGAGAGGCCAAGGTGGGAGGATTGCTTGAGCCTGGGAGTTTGAGATCTGCCTAGGCAACATAGTGAGACCTTGTCACTACAAAATATGAAAAAGTTTGCTGGGTGTGGTGATGTGTGCCTGAAGTACTAGCTACTTGGGAGGCTGAAGTGGGAGGATTACTTGAGCCCAGGAGGTTGAGACTACAGTGAGCTATGGTTGTGCCACAGCACTCCAGACTAGCTGACAGAGACCCTGACTCAAAAAATAAAATAAAATAAAATTTAAAAAGTGATGTCTAATTAAAGCGGTTTCCGCATAGTGTTATGGCTGTAGCATACCATCACTTCCTGGGGGAGCCTGAACCATTTGTCTGGGCTGTGTAAAGTGGGAGTGATGATACACATCCCTATTTGAACAGTAACTGCCATTACATGGCCTGAGAAATCTAACTTCTTCCAACTGCCAGCTGGCAGTGGAGGCAGGAAAGAGCTTCTCACCCATTAATCCTCATTCCGCCGGGCTCGGTGGCCCAGCCTGTAAAACCGCGCCTTTGGGAGGCTGAGGTGAGTGGATTGCCTGAGCCCGAGGGTTCGAGACCCGCCTGGGCAGCGAGACCTCATCTCTACAATAAATCAAAAAATCAGCCGGGCGTGGTAGCGCGCGCCTGTAGTTCCGGCTACTTGGAAGGCTGAGGTGGAAGGATCGCCAGAGCCCAGCAGGTCGAGGCTGCGGTGGCCGAGAGCGGCCACTGCAC